GGAAATTCTAACAAAATTCATTAGACTCTAAAACCGGTATTCAGATTTGTTAAATATTTATGATCCTTGATTGATAATTAATTATAAAATTATATTAATGGACCATTATTTAGCTACAAATATATTGAATCAATATCTCTTGTGCTAAACAAATACAGATTTGCGGTTAACAAATAATCAGAGATTTACGAAGCTATGATTATTTATTATGACTACACGGAAGAAAGTTTAGTTGAATTTACCTGACAATGAACAAACCAAAGGCGTTTTGATTGAACGAAACAAAATTTTCTTATAAACCAAATTCGGTTTTCACAATCAAAAATTCTCTTTCTTTCAACCGAAACATGTTTAGTTTGTTCATTGATAGATAAATTCAATCAAAATTTTTTTCTGTATATAAATATCGATACAAATTTTGACTCGAGTATCTCCTTACGCTCGATAAGTTTGCCAAATGACCAGTAAGATCGAAAGTCGCTTATATAATAAATAATTTAACATACCTGGAAATATTTGATGTATCGCTGATCATGTCCAGACGTCCTGACTTCGCAACTCAACATCCTGTTTCCGTCGTGGCACTTTTGATTATTCCTCATGGCACTGATACTAGATTAACAATAGCACTGACACTCGAAATATGATTTTATCGGAGAAATATGTGTTAATAAACACGATATCGACGAGAGCCCGTAATTGAAATCGAATATGAATAAATCTTGAAATTAAATATTTCAAAGACTAACGAAATTTTGATCGCCCGACAGGAATTATAACGAACGCATCGATATGCGCACTCCGCGCTACGGCACGTACATATGTCGATCGTTGACTCGAGATATAATAACACGATAGCGGGAAATTACGCGGTGTGCAAAACAATAGGCAAAAATGGCTATGTCATTCCGCATCGAGCTAAGCTTGTCGCCCGCGGCTAAAGGACTGATGGATAAATAATCAACACTACCAAAACATTCCGAGCCTTCAAGGAGATCAAAGTCACCTTCATGCGTCGCATATTTTTTTGAGTGTTGAATTACATTTCCAGCAATATGAATACTGCGGAATATATCGTCTACGTTATTTATCAGTCCTATTGGGCGACTAAAATTTTTCGTCGGCTTATGAAATATTTAATCAGGCTCAATATTTAATGTTTCAAAAATCAAATTATATTTACGTGAGTGTCAGTACTACAAACGAGTATCCGGAACGATGGAGCAGCCAGGATCCAGGATACTGGATCAGGAAGTCAGAACGGAGGACGCAGGACGCCGGGTTGAGGGCAGCGATACATCATAGACTTACAAATGTGTCAAATCATTTATTATACAGAATGTTTCCAATTTATATATATATATGACGTACTTATAGAGAATAAAATAATACCTGAATCGAAATATAGGCCGACGTTCATGACTCGTCGTCATTTGACGAATAATACATAATTATGATTTCTCATGAATCTTTGATTATTCGTCGACCTGAACCCACATGTAGTTCACACAACAAGAAATATTGATCCGTGAAATAACGGTCCATGAATACAAATTTATAATGAATTATGCTCTCAATTTAAGATCGTAAATAATTTGCAGCCATGAATATCAGTTTTAGAATTCAATATAAATCTTACAAGTGCTGCTTTTGCGTATAATAATATTCTCCTCAAGCCACAAAGCATCCCGTTTCAAATTTGTCAACGTCTCTTTTCATTTTTTATTTGTAAACCTTGTTATTACAATGTGTCTATATTTATATTAGTATTATAAGATATATACAACTGCTATAGTTGCATTTACATCTTCATTCTGAAATTGAAATTGAAATTCTGTCAAAATTTCTCTAACGCTAATAAAAATATAACAAAAGAATCATGAATAGAAAAGTTTGTTACTTCATCAATCCATTAATCTCATTACTAACTTATTTTAGTTATTTAATATTTGCTTACTTCACATATTATGTGTAGTTAAATAAATTATATAATTAATACATTCATCAAAATTATGAATGCATACAAAATTAGCAATGAAATACAAATAGAATATTAAGATATTAACAAATATTGCATCATATTATTCATAAATATCAAATAATTCTGAAACAAGTCCTTTGAAGCTCAGAATGAAGGAAACGGCAGTAAATAATCATTTGTAATATCAAAGCAAAACAATAGTTTGCGTACCTCGAGATTCTCCATCGGTCCTTTAAGTACGACGGAATTTGCGGAGTTAATGAACTAAAATTTCGACCTGGGTACTATAATATAATCATAATTAAGGCAAAACACACCGCGCATTAGAACTCCCATTCTAGATATTAACGACCGACGGTCCGAGTAACTTGAAGCCAATCTTTCGAATTCTTGAGGGAATATCGCTGTTTCGGGCTATTTAGCTTCAAAGGCAGAAGACAAATTCGCAATATATCTAACATGCTTCTAACATGAATCTAACATTTACTTTTTGCGATTATGATATCATTATTATTATTACACACGCGACTACGCTCGTCTCGATCGCGGGGACGACTTCATTTGCAGCTCAGAAACGTTGTGTGTCAGCAAATAGACAATTAGTTGCACCGCGCATTAAGAACATAAAAACGCAAATGAGGAAGGCACGATATCGATTAGAAATAATTCGCTCGCATCGATATCAGCTGGAGATCCCCGTCCACTCTTTGATTATTTCCAACACTCGTAACGACGAATTAATATCAGCGTGTACACGCGGTATTGTATAACGCAATTTATAATATGCGGCATATATCTGTTATCAGCATCAATTATTCCGCGGTAGCTACGACGCACAGTGCGAGTAACTACGACAGTAATTAGCTCAGTAATCCACGGCATATTCTGTACAGTTTCACCGAATACAACGCTGCAATGCGTCAGAGCGCTGGAAGTAATTTTGTATGCAACGGGAGACGCGTCGAGAGAGCGAGTCCGGGAGTCCACAATTTCAATTGGAAATTATAATGGAAATCTTTCGGATCTTCCATCGCCGCTAATCCGAGTTAGCGACGGAATCCGCGTTAGGACGGTATTTAAGACGCAAACGGCGTCGCGCCACACGAGAAAGCTTTATCGGGTGAAAAGTACAATTGACTATTAACTCACCCGGCGCCGATTAAGCCGCGTCTCTGAATGTAAAACAGGCATCGTGGAAAAGTGCTGTTTTCCCTTTCACGTCTATTTCTAGCCGGTCGCAGCGCAAGATGGCGCTCGAGTTTCCCTAATTTTCCGATTCTTTAAGCCCCAACTATTACAATCATGAGATGGTGAAATGTTTCATCTATGTACGATGTTACATGGTACATTGTACAAATTTAAGGAGCGTGTTTCTGATGAAACAGAAAATGTCCTATAAACACGGGTCTGAAACAATTATTCATCTGTCACAAATGTGGAAAATTTATAAATTATAGTACAAGTGATCATTTCTTTTCTCCAATGTACCAGTTTCATTCGTTTGGAGCATTATGTGCATTGCGAAGCGGCAAGCGAGTCAAACGAGATCTTCAATCACGCTTTCAGCACAGTTAATCGAAATGCACATGGTGTTAAATGCGTTGAAGGTATGCGCGCTGCTATTTAAATTTATTATTCAAACAGTAAGAGGCGTGTATACGCATCGCACGTGCGGTAAATAGGAGAATTTGGATTAGATTGGTCCGTCGGATCTTGACTTTCGCTCGTCTAACGGCGTACGCGTACATACGTACGTTCAATATGAATAATGGATTCGAATCAAACCAGCCGTTTAACGTGAAACGCGCTCGCTCCGTCGCGAATTCGCATCTGTTTTCGCGCGCGGATTTAATCCGCACGTAATCTAACGACTCTTCGAGAACGCGTTCCCCGAGAATACGCGCTCGTCCCCGCGGCGGTTCAGTCAAAGGTTAACGTTTCGTCATTTAATGTTTCGTAGTGCTAACGTTTCCGATGAAAACAACTTTACGAAATAGGGAAGAAGGGCTTAAAATGACGACCTTAAGGTTTGTCGATTTTTCCTCATTTTCGTAGTGACATAAAAATAATAATCAATTTTTTTCTGAGAAGCTAAAGTTTTGCCTATCATCTGTACAAACTGAAATGTTTACAAATAAATCGGAATCTTGTTTAATTCAATTTTTTTGAGAACGCATCAATTTCGTCATTTTATCCACATGTATGAGTAAGATGACGAAAATTAAAAATAAATATATTTTTATATATATAAAAAATGATTTTCACAAACTTTTTATATTACTTTGTTATTATAATGTCTATACAACACAGTGAAATACAAATAAAATAAAGTGCACATAAAAATTATGATTTATAAACAGAAAATATGATTTGTGACGATGTAATTTAATATTTATTAAAGCAAAATGTACGAATACGTCATTTTGCACATGATATTCACACATGATGTATCATCTCACTCCTTAACCACTGTATTATTTATCCAATTAAAAAAATATTGCAATATGAGAAATGAAAAATAATGCGTTACTATATATATATATATATATATATATATATATATATATTATATTATATTATATTATATTAATTACTGTTTATATATATATATATATATATATATAAACAGTAATTTTATAGAGAAAGTAAAAATATTTATTTTAACTATGCGATTATTCATAAAGAAATACACAAAATTATATATAGGTGTATCCAAAATATATTTCTTATAATCATCTACTGTATCTGACAGACTGAAGTCAAACTGTAGTTTACAACAAATTATTTATCGTTATCGAAAGCCCCCATATTGAATCGAAGGACCGATTTATTCGTTACTAGCTTAGAAAAATGAGCAAATCGTCATCTTACCCCCCTTTCTCCGCACGTTGTGCACGTTTCCGTCGCGGCCCTGTCGATGTAGCGCGCCGATCACATCGATATCGCGCACCCGGTGAGAAACGATCGACTTCTCAGTTTCCCGACTCACTAACAGACCCACCTGTCTCTGCCGTTTCAGGTGACAAGATGGCAGCGATACAGCGTCGCAAGACGTCGGCAGCGAAGAGGAATCTGGCGGGCGTGCTGGTGTCGGCGGTAGTCGTCGTAGCGGGCGTCGTTTTAGCGCGATAAGCGTTTCACTTCGAAATGTCCATAACTATTACACCATTACTTCCGTTTGTGATAGATAGTATATTACTCCCGGGACTTTACGGTCCACCCGCCCGCCCTCCTTTTTCATTCCCCTGCTCCTCTCATCCTTGCCCTCTCGCCCTCCTCGTCGCCCGTTACCGCGTCTCATTCTCCGCGGGTCTTCACTTCTCTCTTCCTCCTCCCCCATCGTTCCCGTCTTCCGTTCCATCTACCACCTTCTCCCCTCCTCCCTTATTCCTTATTTACCTTAGTCGAGGTTGCCGCCGGCTGGACTACTTAGATATGCGAGATTTTCGTGGAAGATTGCGCGATTGCCTGCTCCAAGTCATTACGCGCGACGCGCATGCGACTCGAATTATGTAAATACTCGCCGGTAATCGTAATCTCTCGGGTTGAATACGCCAGCAGGACGGATTACGTATAGGCCACGGCCTGTCCAACTTCCGGGCGGCGGATGAACGGTCCGTTCGTCCGCTGAATCGATCGGCCGGAAAATTCGACTATCGCTCGGTCGGCTAGCGCGCGATCCAAAGATAACGACCGACCGCGTTCCCTCCTCGTCCGCGAGGGAAATATCAACTCTAACGTGTCAAAATAATCACTCCGAGGGAGACGCTGAGAGCGGTCTCGCGATCACACGGCGATCGGATCAGCCGATCTTCTCTCGTCGAATCGGTCCCGATTTAATCCTCACGCGGCAAGAATAATCTTGCCCGCTCTGTGTCTCGCTCTCTTCCCCTCCCCTCCTCTATTCCCCCTCCCTCTTCCTCTTCCCAGTCACTTTGTATTTTTAGACATTATTTTCCACGGGAGTTATCAGCCCTCCGCCGTTCCATCTCTGCGTACTTTTTTCTACAAGACCCTTCAAGCGAAACGATGTCGCGCAAATCGAGCTGAACTTCGCCGAAGGGCGATTATCGTGTCGGTACGCGAAGAATGTATCGCACAGTCGCGGTTTTAAAGGGCCCGCTAGTTGGACAGGCCTGTCGTAGGTCCACCGGGCGGCGGCGGACACGTGTCGCGGACACGTACACACGGGGCCCACGGCGTTACCTTTCAGGGGCCCACCAACCACGTAGCATCGTTTTCTCTCGCCCAAAAACACTGTACACATCGGATACGTAGCGATTAAGGTTCAACGGTTCTTTCTGTATATCCTAATTTAAGGGTAAGACGCGCGCGCGAAGATACAAACGTAAGGGGGGGGGGGGGA